TTGTTGAATAAATGAATGGTACCTGCCCTGTCCAATGATATCTCAACTCCACGGGGGTAGGAGGAAGGCTGCTTAGATTATTTTTTATTCCTCACTGATAATGATAGGATTGAGAGTTACCCTTTTTTTAAAAAAAATTTTTATTTATTTTTCAGAGAGAGAGAGAACACAGGTAGGGAGAGGGGCAGAGGGAGAGGGAGAAACAGACTCCCCACTCAGCAGGGAGCCTGACATGGGGCTCGATCCCCAGGACCCTGGAATCATTACCTGAGCTGAAGGCAGATGCTAAACTGACTGAGCCACCCAGGCATCCCGAGAGTTACTCTAATAAAATACAAATCCATAGTACTCCTTTGGTCCAAACGTTAAATCTTTCAATAGTCCCCCAATATCCTGAGTTTCTCTATAAAATGGAGATAATACTATACACACCTCACAGGGTTACTTTAGGTCTAAATGAGATAGATATATCATAGCCTTGCATGTTCCTAGCATATGGTAGTTGCTCAATAAATTCTAGGTCCTTTTATTCTCTAATTTTCTAGCCTAATGTCCAATCCAGTGTTCTAGTCACATTGAATTCTTTATCAGTCCCACACAGGAATGCCAGGAAGGCCATGCTGTCTGTCTACCTGGTGAACTTCTCCTTGTCCTCCAGAACAGACCTCGAATGTACCTCTCTTCTGTGAAACCTGCATCCCACTCCGTCTTGCTTTCTGCTTCTGCATTACCCAGTATGTGTCTCAGTTACAGGGCACGCAATTCTGTTATAATTTTTTCTGTTATAATTATTTACTTATACTTTTGCTTCTCTGTTAGGCTGTGACCTCAGGAGTACAGGGACCAAGGCTTATTTGTATTTGTAGAGTGTTTACAAAAAGTCTGGAGGAGGCGGGAAAGATGACAGAAGAGTTAGCTTTACAAAAAAAGAACGGCTTCTTCCTCTGAAACAAAAGGAAGTAACAGAAGATGACTAACAGTAAGAATGTAGCAAGAATCTTTAAAGCGAAAGGGAGGATGCCAAATCTCAAGGGGAAATCTGGCTTGACAGGGGAAGAATACAGGAAGAAGATGTCACCCCAAGAGATGAGGAGGTTATGGGAGAGGTGGCATTGGTATGGTCTAATCCTTCTCCTTCCTAGATGTGTGAGCTCTCAGGATGGACTCAGCACCTGGGCTGGCAAGAAGGGGTTGTTGGGCCTGCAGGGAGAAACGGCCTGTCCCCACAGAATGAGGCTGAATGGACTTGCTTCACATCTGAGTCTTTCAGTCCAGCTGGAGGGAGCTGGAGCTGGTTGCTGGGGAAAGGGGAGGTTTGCAGTGATGTGTATGAGGAGTGCTGGAGGGCTAGGGTGGCGTGGAACTGTTGACGCACTATGAGGAGGAGAGCAGGGAATTTGGGCAGCAATGCAATCCCCAGAAAATATGGTAGGAGTGGCAGAGCAAAAGCAGCTGGAGAGGAAGCGTTGGTCTGGAGGCTCTGCTATTTGTTCCAATTGGCATCTTTGATGACTGCATCGAAGGGAGTCTGTGAGTCCTCTTGCCTTGGTGTTCTCGTGGTCCAGGTCGGGGCTTAGAAACAAGAACACATGCAACTCTGGCTCATTCTACTCTAGGCGGTCAGACTAAGCTTCTTAGATCGTTTTCCTTGTCAACAATTTTCAGGTAACAAAAACAACAGGTGACTTCAAAAACAACAAACCAGTATCTCCGTCAGAGTACTGTGATGCAAACACCAGAAATTGTGAGAAGTTCAAGAAAAAAGAGAATTTACTGGAAGGATACAGAGTTGACAGGAAGGCTGGAGAGTTGGATATGGAAGATGGGTTGTAACCTAGGAAGGCCAGGCAGCAGGCACCACAACCAAGTTCGTGCCTCAGGAACAATCTGGAATGGCCACCATTACTATGGTAGGGACCCCCCTACTCCCAACCCCTATGAGAGACCCACTGTGGTTGGACACCTACTGTCTCTGTTGCTCTGAATAATTCTAAACTTGTCAGTAGGTCTCGTGTCATTCCCGGAAGATTCGAAGTTCAGAGAGGGTGGCCAGGTGGCCAAGCCTGGATCATATGCCGTGTTCTAGCCACTGATATTCTCCCTGCTTCAGCTTCCTTCATCTTAGCAGTACTGCAAATACTGCATAGAATGGGGCATTTCCTCCAAGTAAGAAGGACTTGAGGTGCTGATGGTGAACTAAAATAAAACAAAATGTTTTATCTATGGATAAACATTGGAGGGATAAAACATGCCCTCATCTTTCCTTTTCCTTTCCACTTATTCTGTTTTCATCACTTGTCAATTGTGATCATAATCTCAGGCTCGTAGACTTGACACATTAGAATCATCCTCATCGCCCTCATTTTCCCACACAGTGAATAACTCTCCAGATTTCTTAGGTTTGCCTTGCCTTCTGTCCCTGCTACTGTTTTAGTAAGATTACTCTGGCAACAGCCTAGAGGAAAGAAGAGACTGGGAGAAATTGGGAGTCAGACTTCTAGAATGGTAGAGCTAAAAGAGACCTTTCAATTGATCTATTGTAGTGGTCTTATCTGGGAATATTCATAAGAATTCCTATGGCACTGAGGAAATACACATGCTGGTATTCCATCTTCAGTTTTGGGGTTCAGTAGATCTGGGGTGGAACTTCATTGTTGTTGTGTGTGTGTGTACATTTCTGTGTTGTGTGTCTGTGTGCACCCCGGGTTGAGAACTGCTGAATTCCAATACCCTTATTTTAAAAATGAGGAGACTGAGGCCCACAGAGAAGTTACCTGTTTGAAATCACACGAGTTAATGAGAGGGGTAAAGGGGCCAGGACCAATCCCAGATTTCTTGGCTTTTGGTCTATACTATGCTATGTTTTCCCTCTGTAAAAGGAAATTTCCTGTCTTTATTTGTATCCAAGAAAGCATGTTGCATGTCTGTGGTTCAGCTCTTCCAACAGTAAATAGGCTTTCGATTAAGAGCCCCAAGCTGTCAAGAGTGAGCCCAGACCAAGGGCCCCATTCCTTTTTTTTTTTTTTTTAAGATTTATTTATTTGAAAAAGAGAGAGAGGGAGCGCGTGTGCGTGCACACGTGTGAGCTCACACACCCATGCTCCAGCAAACCAGGGGAGGGGCAGAGGGAGAGAGAGAGAATCTTGAAGCAGACTCCCCAGTGAGCACGGAGCCTGATGTTGGGCTTGATCCCAGGACCCTGAGATCATGACCCGAGCTGAAATTAAGAGTTGGCCGCTTAACCAGCTGAGGCACCCGGGCGTCCCCCAAGGGCCCCATTTCTAATTGTAGTTGGCTTGATCTCTGGATCACAGGCCTCCTTGTCAGAATCTGGGAAAAGCGTACTCAAGAATCTCAACTGGGGTGTGAAATGAGGAGAATCCATAGATAAAGGACAGTCCAGCTGAAGCCATACTTCTGTTTGCCAGGATTCTGACTGGGCCTCTGTGCACACAAGACCTTGTTTCAATTCCCCAAAGACTCTTCTTCAATTCTTGACTGTTCTTTAGCCGTCTGGATGTCATCTTGGGAATCGACTTTCTTTTTCCTGCTCTCTGACTTCTACCAATAACTCTGGCTTACCACCAGTTCCGACACTGTTTCCGGGCAGTCTCATGGAAACCCCGGGCCTCTGATGCCTTCCATTCCATTATGTTCCTTTTTTGATTTTGCTCTCCTTATAAAATGTATGCTTTCCTATAAAGATTCCCAACAGGAAATGCCATTTGTTTAATGTCCTCCTGTTCAGATCTGCCTTAGTGCAAAGAAAGCAAAGCGCGGGAGAATTGCTACAGTAGAACCATCTATCAGAGGGGAGTCATTTTTTTTTCTTCCATCCCCTCTGCATCCAGAAAGGGCCTGGCATCAAAGTCTGAGCACCTCCCTTGGTGATTAACCCCAGCAGGAATGACGAGGTCAGAGCTGTCCTTTGGAAAGCAGTTCTGAGAGCTGTAGAGGATGGATTAGAAGAAGAGAGGCTGTGGGCATGAAGACAACCTATAGCAGCTACTGCAATAATCTAGGTGAGAGATGATGAGACATGAATTGGGCAGTAGGAGGGGGATGAAGAGGAGAAGATAGGTGGGAAAATAGTCATTTTCGTGGAAGAACAAGAAACTGACAGATGTGGGAGGTGAGGGGAAAGTAAACAACACTAGGTTTAGAGCTTGAGGAACTCGGAGGATAGTACCTTTAATAGGATGAGGGAAATAAGAAATAAGCTGTTTTGGAAGTAGGGTGGAAGACAGTGACTTTAGTTTTGTACACATGAGGAATGCAGACATCCAAGATAATGTTTCCATCAAGCAGTTGAATATGCAAGGCTGGACTCAAGAGGTCTGGACTGCAGATATCAATTTGGGAGTTTCAGCTGGAAGAAACTGTGAGGTGAGGGTGAGGTGGCACCCAAAGAGAGAAGAGGACTGAGGCTTGAGCCTAGAGGAATACCTACACTTCAGCCCCAAACAAGGGGGAGGGCTCAAAAGAGTCTGAGAAATTGCTGAGGGTTTGAGAGAAAACCAGGGAAGTATGGTTTTGCCAGCCAAAGGGAGGTCCGGGAAGGATGTGGAGAGGGAGGATATGGAGATGAGGACTGACAAGAAGCTGTTATTTTTAGTAGTTAGTTGCTGGTCACAGTAGGCCTGGTCACGACAGCTACTCTCACATCAAATGAAGCACTGAGGGAGGGTTCTGGATAATTCCCATATTCCCCACTCACGTTAGCCTTAGTTATCAGGGTATTGCAGAAGAAATACGTGTAATTATTTCATAAAGTTTAATATCGCTCAGAATTTCCAAATCCTCTCAGTCCTCAACTTCATCGGGCTCAGTAAGAGGAAATTGCAAAGACTGGAGGGTGAGGCTGAAGACTGCATATAAGGTAAACATAAATATTAATGAGGTTTCGCCTTCCGCCAACCAGGCCCGGGGAGAACGTTCCCCGGGCTCACTGGAGCCCCGCCCCCTCATAAATATGTAGACGGCACCGCCCGCCGCGCACTGCCCCGCCCTCTACTCTTCTCCCTCGCAACGGACTCTCCCTTCAAACGGGAAACAAGATGGCGGCGGCAGGTCCGAGTACTCGGGCCTCTTCCGCGGCGGCAGCGGCAGCTCTCAGTCGGCGGGGCCGACGGGGCCGCTGTGACGAGATGGCGGCAGCCAAGACTGGGGCCCCGGGCGCAGCCTCTGGCCCCGCGCTGCTGGTGTTGCCGCCACCGCTGCTGCAGCCGCCGCCACCGCCGCGGCCGGAGGAGTCGGGCTGCGCCGGGTGCTTGGAGACCCCGGGGGAAGCGGCGGCCCTGCCGTGCGGCCACTCGCTGTGCCGAGGCTGCGCCCAGCGCGCCGCCGACGCAGCGGGCCCGGGTTGCCCGCGCTGCCGAGCCCGCGGCCCCGGCTGGGCCCGCCGTCGGGCCCGCGACGACGGCCAGGCCGACGCGGAGGTGCAGGGCGAGCGCGCCCGCCGCGGCCAGCCCGAGCGCTGCCGCCCGCGCCGGGACGGGGGCGCGGCCGCCGCGGGGCCCAGGCCGGAGCAGGAGCCGCGCGCCGCGGCCGCGGAGCCAGGTGGAGCTTCCCCTCCTCCCTTTGGGGTCCCGAGCGAGGCCGAGCGCGCCCGGCCTGGCCTGGTTAGGGGGTGGAGGGTCCCAGGCCGTACTCGAGCGGCCGTGTAGACTTTTCGTGGGGTTGGAACTGGGCTCTGTCCAGGTGCATCTGTTTGTGAATTTTGAACTTCGGAATGAAGTACGGACAGGATGGATTTGGGGGGGCAGTGAGGGGATCCCGCGCCTTACGGAAGTCAGAAGTTTGGAGGGAAACAGCATTCTTGGAACAAGTTAGGGCCAGGTTGGAATGGTGTGTGGAAGAAGGGTTCCGAACTTTGCGGGGGCCCTGGAGGATCAGAGAAGTGCTTGGTTTAGTGCTGGGTGAAGAGGTTGGGGTCGAACTGCCTGTAAAGACGTGGCTCCTGGGCCTGAATGGATCACTGAGAGGTGTGGAGTATCCGGAGTTAAGGAGTAAGTTGCACTTGAGGATGTGAAGGGAGCTTTTCAGACTTGAGTGTGGAGTGGGTTGAGAGAATGAAATCACATGTGCAGTTTTCACAAAGTCTGGAAAAATGCATGCTTAGCACAGAGCCTGGCACATAGTGAGGAAGCAATAAATCAGGGTTATTTATATTTATAATAATTCCAAAAATTAATAAGCTCCAGTAGTCTGGAGACAAACAAAACAAAACAAAAAACTGGATGGGGTTTAAAAGTTTCGTATATGGAGATTGCTTGGCAGGGGCTGCTTCTATCTCCATGGCAGTGTAGGTTTCCTACTATCATCCTGGCAGTTAAAAGTCTGTTGTAGGGCTGTTGCTTTCAACTTCTTGCCTTTCTTTACCTTCCATAGCCTGCCACTCTTTGGTGCTGAGCTTGACATAGAAAGTGTCCTGTAAAAACCACAAAACAAAACTGTTATAACTTAGGACTCTTTTTGAGACACATCCAATCAAGACAACATCTACAGCTCTTTGATAAGAAATGCTTACCTAGGAGGAGATTTTCAAGAAGCATAATTAGGAAAGGCCAGATATTTGCACCTTTTGTGCTGGGAATTCTGCCATGTGTTATTTTCAGTAGGGAAAAGAAGGCGTTGCTTGTGTATGAAAGTGCAGTCTTTAGAAACTACAGGTTCCAGAATGCAGTCTGTTTTGATTCGAGCGGACACCTGCCACTGTCCTAGGATACCTTACTTTTTATTTCTACGTCTTTTTTTTTTTTTTATTTCTACGTCTTACTTTCTATATTCCTCATTATTCCTTTTAAGCTTCACAACATCCTTATGAGATAGATACTTTTATTTCCATTTTACAGATGAAACTGAAGCCCAGAGAGGTTAAGTAACTTGCCTGAATGAAAACCCAGTTCCATCTGATTCTTGCTCACATCAGGCAAGAAGGCCTCCCCAGATGTCATCTGATTTGTGGGTGCTGTGTAATGTTCTCATATGCTCTTTAATTTGCTTCAAATTCTGAGATTTGAAGATGGTTAAAAAAAAAAAAAAAAGTATGTCTCTGGTCTCCCTACTAGTACTATTGATTATATGGTCAAATAGGGTAGAAATTTCTATTCTTATTTCTAAAGGCTGGACTCCTCTGTGAAATAGTCTGAAATTTGATCCATGAGAGGGAGTATGGCTCAACAATTTCTGCAAACTTTTTCCCTTGAAGAAATTTGTCATAAAGTGTATCAGTAATTAAGGAAAATTATATAAAATGAGATTCCAAATTAGGATCTGTTGAATCACTGAGTATCCACCAATTACTTTATATGTTTATGAGGACTGTGATGAAAAATATTTTTCCTTAAATGTTCTTGTTGGATCATTGAGTGTATATAATTACAGGCTTATTAAGTCAAATCATTATAGAAGAATATTGCTGAGCAGGGTTTGGGAATTATCTTCTAGCTTCAGTGGGTTGGACTTCTTGAAGGTATATACAGTTTTTTAATTTAAAATTTTAATATGCAGTGTATTCACATAATGCAAACAAAAATAAAAGAAAGTATACACTGGAAAGGTTCCTCCTACCCCTTTACTCAATTTCCCACTAACATCAACATTCTCATTTATTCTAGTTTCTTTATGCTTATACATAAAAATTCAAATATATTTATTTTAGTTTTTTATCTTTTTACATGAAAGGTTGTGTATTGTATACACTGTTCTGTAACTTGCTTTTTTCATATAACAATACATGATGGAAATCTTTTCATATCACTATATAGAAGTTTTCTTTATTCTATTTACAGTTGCAAGGAATTTCATTGAATGGCTATAACAATTTACTTAACCATCTATTGGTGGACATTTAGGTTCCCAATCTTTTGCTATTATAAATAGCCATTCATAGAATTGTTATGTACACATGTATGTGCATTGTTATGGAGAGGTCACCTGTAGCGTTCACCACATTCTCAAAGGGTTGCAAAAAGAAAGCGAGGAACCATTATTTTAACACAGGTCCCTCATTCTACAGAAGGGAGAACTGAGGCCCAAAAGAGAGTAGAAGGTGACCACAGGCACCTGGGTTGCTCAGTCAGTTAAGCGCCTGCCTTCGGCTCAGATCCTGATCCCAGGGTCCTGGGATCCAACCTGCTTCTCCCTTCCCTCTGCCGCTCCCCCTGCTTGTGCTCTCTCACTCTCTGTCAAATAAATAAATAAAATCTTTAAAAAAGTGACCAGCGAATGGTCATCATGAGTTAGTAGCAGATAAACAAAGACCAAAAGAGTAACCCATAAATAAGGGCTAAAATATAGCCTAATTCCCAGTTAAATGCTCATGATGGCTTTTAATAGGGAAAACTATAAAGACCAGTTTTATAAATATTTACATTGTGTTTTTGAGTGGGAAACAGCAATAGAAATAGCAATTTTAGGTATATTCAGAAGTATATTGCTTAGCAATATTCTTTTGGCATATTTAGGCCAATTGATAAAAGAAAGGTCAGGCCTGCTTTATATTACTGGAAATTAAGTTTTGTTGTAAATGCACTGGTGTTTAAGTGAAATTCTTACAGTTTTGTTGTTGTTGAAGCCCCATGGCTCTTTTGGAATTGAATTGTCTATGAAATAAGTGCAAGAGTTTGTGCTTGTTGAAAATTTTGGTTGTGTTGCTGACATTTTTGTTTTTTGCCAGCTTCTTGGCAAGCTTTAAAGTTCAGAACCTTAAGGACTCCTATGTAAAATGTTTTGTTTTATTATATGCCTTGTCAGTTTGCTTTTGGATATAGTATCAGTTGATTTGTGCAACATTGTGTGAAGGCTATTACAGCTTTATATTCCTCAAGGAGCTGTAGCTCACTGCATATACTGACATAGCATTTGGACCATTTTGAGCAATATTCACAAGTATGTAATGAATGCCTAGGCTCTGCCAGCCAGGCACTGTGCTAGGTCCTTGGGAGACATTAGTGAATGAAATATCCAAGATTTCTTCCTCTTGGAGCTTATATTTTAAATTTAGAGACAGGCTTGGTCCATTGATTAAAAAAAAATGTAGCACACAGGCACAGATAGGTACCTTTGCAACTGCAGTTGACCCTTGAACAACAGGAGTTTTAACTCTGTGGATCCACCTATACGTGGATATTTTTCAATGAATACATTACAGTGCTGTAAATGTATTTTCTCTTTCTTAGGATTTTCCTAACATTTTCTTTTCTCTAGCTTTATTTAAGAATACAATATATAATGCATATAACATACAACATATATGTTAATCAGCAGTTTATATTATTAGTAAGGCATCCGGGCAACAGCGGGCTGTAAGTAAAGTTTTTGGGAAGTCAGAAGTTACTGTGGATTTTTGACTGTGCCAGGGGTCAGCGCCCCTTACCCCTGTATTGTTCAGTGGTCAACTGTATATACAACAGCAATACTTAAGTCTCATTGGTAATAATTAATGAATTTTAAGAATTCATTTAGTCTTTTGATTTGAAATGAAGAGTGATCATTCTAAATTATACTGCCTTTGAACTTGAAACTAAGACCTTGGGGTGCCTGTGGGTGGCTCAGTGGGTTAAGTGTCTGCCTTTGGCTCAGGTCATGATCCCGGCTCAGGTCATGGTCCCGGAGTCCCTTGGCAGGCTCCCTGCTCATGGGGAGTCTGCTTCTCCCTCTCCCTCTGTCCCTCCCCACTGCTCGTGCTCTCTCACTCTCTCTCAAATAAATAAATAAAATCTTAAAAAAAAAAAAAGAAATCAAGACCTTTTAGGACAGTTCTTTTTCTTCTACCATGGGTAATAATTGAAGAGAAAAGCTAGACAAAGGCCAATGAATGTTTTAAACTGGCAGTTAGAACTTTTTAAAAATTTTTAGTGTTAAAAGTGCATTTCAAAAATTTAATAGTACCTCATTTATCCCTTCGCTTTAATGCTACCCAATGTCCCTGTTCACTTAGGGTTAACATACATTTAAAAAATGTCCTCTTTCTGTGACAAACAAGTAGTTCTGGTTTATTACTCAGTTGGCAGACAATGTTTGCTATGTGTGGAGCCTAAATTACATTTAGGACTGATGAATAATGAAATCATGTGATTGTGGTGGAAAAGGACAAGAATTTCCCTCATCTGTACAGGATTTGTTTTAAAATGTATAATGACTCAACTTTTTATCCTTAGTGACACATATTCCAGAATTTGAGAGTGTCCTTATATGTTATACTAATGCAGGAAACAACTCAGAATGAGATGACCTCACCAACTAAATATTAATTGCCATTGAAGGAATATCTCTGTTCTATAGAATTCAGGATTGAGCAGCAGGAATTTAGGAGGTATTTGTTTTTGTTCATTCATATTTCCACTCCTGCCTAACTTCCAGTTAATCTGGATGAGTTGCTTAGTCTTGAATTCATTTCTGAGTTTTTTTGAGTGTAGGATATAGGATATGTTTGTCAAATATCATCCCACTAATTCAATGAGCATTTTGGGGGGCACATGCTCTGTAAGATAATATAATAAAAAAGATGAATAAGACGTGGTCCCCATTCTTTGAGATTCCACAGTCTAGTTGGA